GGCATTTATGCCAAATATCCCTACAAATCCTGCTATTACCTATACTAATTCATATTGAAAATTTAGCTCAATAGCCTATATGTCGACCATGAGGCGTACAAAGGTGAACAAACTTTGCCAGCATTAATAAAGATTTTGAAACAACTGACCCACAACTACGCAACGACCGCCTGGGTCAAGACGACCAGTACCCTGATATGCTTAATCTTCAGTTGTGACAGTTTTAGCGCCAACAGAGAGCGGAGAGGATTAGGTCGTTTAACTGTCATTAAGCAGATTAAGACTCCGTTAGCCTACCATTTGATTTAGGAAGCTAAGACCAATTTTTTTTTAGCTAATAGAGTTACCAAAGTTGAAAAATAAAAAAGGACAAGGATCAAGCTAAGGAAATTCCTTTCTTAAGCCACACCTTTAGAAGGTTCTTCACGTAACTAGTTGCTGACGAACTTCAGCGCGCAAAATTCGACACGTATGGCTTGAGGTAGGACAACTGCGTGATACAAAGAATTAATTTGCGTTATAAATTAGACACCTACGTTTCACATAGAGAAATCACTGCGTCTTCCTACCACGTGCCACTTAAAATTAATGCATTTGACAATCACGCGCACTTCAAAATATCTTTTTCACACATGAGGTTGCATCCATGATCCAAGCCTAACCCCTCCCTTCCACAATCTAAATCTTACATCCATCCACCCCAGACTTCCTTTCTCACATGTCCTCCTCAGCATTTTAATGAGTCTTTGTACTTCCTAACTGAATATCCTCTTGACTTCTCTCAAAGTTACACCACAGACCGACCATCCGAACTATTCGAGGCATTTTGATGTCACGCGACATGTCGTAAAAAAGAGGCAAGGCTGATTTTACAGTCGGAAATATATATTTTTTGTTACCAATATTTCGCAACGCACGGCCTTCTTCTTCAGGGTCTTGCATACAATGATAAGGTAATCGTATATATCGTAACGCACGCTCTCGGCTTGATTCAAGTGATCGGGAGAAATGCTTTGCTGTGAAGTATTTAGAAAGTTACTTTTAAGACGGATTTATCTCATCTTTTACGTTTAGTTTTTTTTGTATCAAGTGGGTCAAGGTTAGTCTTGATTCTTGTCTACGTAGGTGTTTTGCCGTGTTATGAAGTACCTGCCTTTAGTTTGGCTTTTCATTTGCCGTATTTTTAAGGTTTTACTAGCTTCGTGATAAACAGTTTATAGTAAGAGGAGATTCAATGTATTTCGGCCCCACTTGGTTAGTTCCTGAGTTTTTGTGTAGTATTGTCCATTTGAAGTGTTTGTTAAGCTTAGTTTTGGTTCTTTGAAGTAGGCTTGTTCCGCGGGGAGTACAGCTGATCTTGAGTTTTACCCGGGGGTTTTACCCACAATGGAGTTCCTGTTTTGTATGCTTGGTCCTTCCAGGCAGTTTCTCTGTTAGCATTTAACTGGTTCTTTGGTACTTGTTGGTTGCTGCTGTGTGGGCTCGGCTAATCTAACAATAGCAAACCTGATTACCTGAATCAAGCCGAGAGTGGGCGTTACGAAATACAGTAAATGTATGAGATCACATGTCGTGCACGACATCACGATGCCTCCAACAGTTAGGATGGTCGGCTTGAGGTTACACGAACCAGACGCCTATAGGCTCCTGCACGAACCTTTAAGTAACACGTCACGGCATGGGTCTTTCCAAATTTTTGAACATCGTTTCTATTAATCGGATGCAACAAGATAAACGCAATTTTCGACCATTGTCCTAATGCTCTAGTTCTTACTGACCCCACTGGTTTGACTCAAATCAAGGTCCAGCCCCCGCCGGCCTTCCCTTTTATATACCATTTTTGAGAGAAGAGGTACCCCTTTCGTATACCCTCAATTGACAAATGGTGTCCCTTTCACATTTCTAAATTAGAACACCCCATTCCTTTAACTGTTGTAAATGCAAACGTCTTCTTAATATGAATAAATCATTAATCCAGGAAGTTTTCTTGTCTTTTTCAAAGGTACAACTGTTAGCCGAAATATTGGCCCCAAATAAGTCAGCCTTTTGCCGTATTTCCAGCCTTGCATTCAGTTTTGTTTTATATTCCCATTTCAAGTGAAGTCTAGCTTTAGCATCATTACATTAGAGATCCAGCCAGAAGGAAACAGTCGGTTTTTTTACGTGGCGTTGAGCGAACGTCTGCATCACGGCAAGGGTTTTATAAGATACAACTGTCAGCCCTTTTATGGTCCTTTCATAGACCGAAATAACAGATTTCCCTACTCTTTCATGTACTTTAACAAGTAAAATCTCTACCCAGCCTGATAAAGGTACAAGCTTCGGGCGAAGCCTCCCTGTAGTATAGGCCATTACATACCCCGGCTCCAAGTGGCAAAGGTTAAGTTCCTTATAAGACTAGGGGAAGCTGAAAATGAAGGATATTTTCACGAAACCCAGCAAGAAGGTGACTTATTCAGTTAGTTCTCTCTAGATGAAACGTGATTTGCATCGTGGTACTGACTGCTGCGCACAGTGCAGGAGGGCCGAGTAAAACAGAGCAGAGAGAGATAACCCCCAAAAGATAAGGTTATAAACTTATATAGGCCTGTCAAGCTGCTGAGTCAAACAAACGATACAGTACTCCACTCCGTTACAGATCCGAGTGATTGTTAACAGCTTTTTTTTAGCATATAAATCACGACTGTGTTCTATCATGAAGCCTTATAGCGTGTATGATTGGTATCTTTACACGTCAGTTGAAGCCAGCCTGCAAACCTTTTTTTTCCTTTGTGATTCTCACACGCCGTGAACCGATGTAAAGATAATCATAGACGGATGTTTCATAAAAGGCCTGCAAAACAGGCAAGGGCATAAGATCGTTCTAGTAGAGAGTAGACAGCAGTAAAAGCTACATGACGTTTAGGAACGGACTCACGTGGACATACCAGGTTCGGTGCGGCAGCTTGAATTTATTTGGACCTATTCAGTGTGGGTTTTCAACTCATGTGGGCTTCTTTACCTCATCTGCCTGACCGACGGGGTCTTTATTGCAGCTAACAGTAAAGAGGGCTTCATATCCCCGGCTCAGTTCATTTGCCGGGGAGTACAGTACAGTACAGCAGTTGTTGCATTTTAATACTGATGTTCGAGAAGTCTTATGAATAAACAGCGAGGGTGCAAACACAAACGAGTTTTAACAGAAAAAAGCATTTGGAAAAATTTGAAACATTTCCAAGAACAAAACCCGAATTGTCCGGTAGTAAAATCCTCTCTTAGGAAATTTGAGAAGTGAACTTACTACTCGCATGACATCCATCGTAAACCACAAAAATTTATCTCTGCTAGTATGCATGGACGACACTAGCTTTTTTGATAGGCAGTGTAAATGGGTAAAGCTACCAAATTATTTGCCAGCCTGGTTCTTTCTTATACGTTGAAGGTTTTGTGCGTTAGAAATACAGTCGCGGTAAGTTGTTTTTGTACAAATGTCATCTGCTGTGTGTATAGTACATTTTTGACAGTTAAATTCGAGGGCATAAAGCGCAAGGTACAATTTATATGATAGATATGTGATGTATTATGTCCAGACAGGCGTGGTCACAAGTCGAAGACACGCAACGTTCCAATTTTTACCTTCTGGGTAAGGAAATGAATCAAAGCACTATTAAAGAGGTAATGTTTTGTTTCTGTGATATCTCGATGTATAGTATACTTAACAGAAATATAATACTTACACATCCCAAACCCCTCTTCTCCGCTAGCTACGCCTGCTGTATGATATACCTTCTTCTGAATCCCTTGTAGGGATTATTAGGATATTTGTAGCAATCGAGAAGTTTTGCACCATTTTTAAAACGGAATGTTAATGGACTTTAATTCTGAGGAATTTTGCACGAAGCATTACCCAACATTAAGAATTAAGCAGTGGCTCTAATGATCTTTGTGGACGGCCGTTTTTTTTTATTTAGTCAGGCAAGAATCACAATAGCCACATTGAAGATATGATATTGATCTGGGAATAAAAGGCGCATTTTAATTGGTTTATTCTGCGAACTTGCCGCGCGCACCGTGTGGTCAGACAAGTCCCAGAAATCGATTGGCGCGTGCTTGATTGTTTACCCGGCGATCTCAAGTGTTGAAATACTTTTCAATATGTTCACTTAGCGATCGCCACACACTACACGGACGTTCGAAGGGGAAAATTCTATGAAATGATCAAGAAAGATATTGTGATATCATGGTTCAAAGGCCTTTCTGCAGATGATCGAATCGACCTCATCTGCAATATACTGGACTGTTGTCTTCCTTGGGAAATTCGATTTTTTAATACCTTCATGGAAGCTCAGGTCCAACGGGATTACCTGGCTTTTCGACAGGCGGAAAGTACGGCAAACAACCCAACGGACCTGAGCTGCTTGGTTTGCTTGGACGACTCACACATTCGGCGAAAACTGTGTGTGTGTCTGGCTCTTCTTCACTCCAGCAATCGACAAGCAGCAGCCGTTATGTTCGGAATCCTTGATGATTATCAGCCTTCAACGTTTGTAGAGGAAGAATTTTTCACTGAATTGTCACTGTTGATGACCATGTCAGCTCATCATCCTGCATTTTCCTTTCATCATAAACATGTCTTGCATGCAAAATTAAAGCAACTCAAACAAGCCGCAAACCGGACGTCAGATCTGAGTGAGGTAAGAATAATACTCAGAGTCTTTTTTGCAAAACACTGTTTTAAAAACATAGGACATAATTCTAAAAGAACGTCTTAAACCCTGATTATGTCAAAAGTGTAAATTTCTGAGGTTCATTTCTAAACAAACAGCGATATCCGTTTTGCATGTTTTCCTTAATGAGCAAGTCATGCCAGCTAGTGCGGCCGTCACGGTCTGTATCGTTTTACACTTTAATATTCTATCCCAAAACTCTGTCATTGTTTTACTCTAATTTGCCCTTTTTCATTTATTCACCTAGACTGTCTCTGAATCAAGCAGTGGATCTTCAACATTTTCGTTTGACCAAGATGTCACAACGAAGTTTGAGCGACATGACCACTTCGAGGATGGTACAGTCTTCCAAGATTGCAAAACGGAAAGGGAGGATTTGCCATTAAGAGATCTACCCGCAGTGGCAAAAGATCAGACTCCCGAAGGTAATTTTATTTTTCGTTAAATCTAAAGAGTTCATCAGCGTTTGATTTCTAATCTTCTTAACCTTCATCTCGCTTACTTAGCAAACGTGAAAGCTTAATTAGTAATGTTTTTTATGAAAATAAGCTCAATAGCCTATTGTGTCCAGCAGTGATTCCTAACGTTCCTTAATTTTGTCATGAATCTCACAGCTGATATTGTAAATTGGCCGATAACTTTTGTGTTTACAGTTGTCCGTGAAGCCATCTTGTTGTTCATACTTTGGATTCGTTTTGTAATAAGTATTGTGGAAAAAATACGGCCCGTGACACTAGCTTTAAGCTACTTTTATCTAACAGCTGTAAGGAATAATTTGATATTCAGCTAGGTCACCTTTCCTGGAATGGCAAACATGAGATTATAAAATATTGTCTTCCTTTGAATGTTACGAAATATCAATATCCTGTGTGGAAAGATTAATTTCTTAAATATCTAATAATCTTTTAAAAAGAAATACACGTAATAAATTACGTGAATAATTAAATTCAAGGACCATGCCACTATATATAAATTTCACTATAATACTTGCTTGTGCTTGATAAAATAGTTAAGCTTTAAAAAGGTTAGTTATCATTTTCACCCTAGAAAGTCGGACGTGCTTTATTTCGTCCGCATGCAAATGGTGAAAGGCCATAAAATTAATCATACAATGCAAGGACTTTACTTAGGTTTTTTTTAAAATATACCATTTCCCTGAACCACCATATTCTGAAAATAAAAATAAGAATGTATTTACGTACATACTGGTAATCTTCTCTAATTTCTGTCACATAATGCTGGGGCAGACCTAGCATTTTTTTCAAGGGGTTCAAATAAATGGCCATGTAAACTACCGGTGTCTAGGGGCATACCCTCCCACAAAAGTTTTTAAGATTTTAGTTTAATGAAAAGCGGTTTCCAGCATTCTGAAGGTGAATCAAAGTCTTTTTATTGCTGTTAGTCAAGAATTGTTTGGCATCATTTGTTACTTTTTACTGCAGTAGGTTTTTGTCATAACCGCCATGGAGTTTAAGTGTGTTCGCAGTTGCAGTTCAAATGGTTCACAAATAATTTTGTTGTCATCAATTCTTATTAGGTTTTAGTAGGAACAATAAGAGATTGTTTTTTTATTTTTTTTGTTTGGGTAATCCTCTTTTGATCAGCTTTTAATAGTCTTATTGAAACATGTGAGACTGTCGTAATTGCTTTTTACCAAACACTCCCTGCACACATTTTGTATATGAAATATGTATGAGTTACGCTTAATGTCATCATTTCACCAAAGTGTCTTAGAATGCAGGTCATTGAAAGCAGATAACATGATGAATAATAGGTCAGGTGGCTAAATTGCAGAATGTGATAATTTGTTGGATGTGACATTATATACGTACATCTAAAGTTAACTGGCTTATAATTAGGGACGTGCCTGAGCAATCTAGTACCTCTTGACACTTACTAGGGACATATATAAATCTAAACAACAATATCAATGAAGGCAGTAAGAGAGGGACTCATCAACAGAACTCAAAAAAGCACACAGACATGTTACCACAAAACAAGATATTAATAGTAAGCAACGTGTGACCCTTTTTGACTACTGAGGTAATTTTCTGTTCTGGATGCATCGAAGGTGTCAAAAATAATTGAGTCAAGATGAATTGCATTCTTTGCATTCAAGTGCTGTTCTTGAAAGTATGATAGCCAAAGTGAACTCTACATTGTAGTTTGTATTTCTTTGTACAGGGTAATTTGCACATGCTAATGCAACAATAAGTGATACTGGTAGAGTAGTAGCAACAGAAAATAGTAAAAACAAATATTAACAATTGCATAGAATCCTTGAAAAGTGAAAATTATTGTGTCCTTAAAGGTCCTTGAAAAGTCCTTGAATTCTTGTACCAAAAAAGGTATAAACCTTGTTTGCGTGGCTAGAGAGATTATTGGAAAGATTGTTTAAAAACGTAGGCTGCTTTACATTGATTCTGACCGTTATTGATCAGCTATATATATATTTAGACCTTGGGATTAAGATAAGGGAGGAGGGACTACAATGAAAAAAAATTTTCTTGGCCTTGTAGGCCTTGTTCTGGTCTGATTTGTGTGGGGTGGCGGTGGGGGTGCCCCTTTCCTAAATTCCTCATTGTTAAAATGTAAATTTAAAACAAAAAGTTCCCACCTTTTTCAACTGCAGCGCATTCTAGTTGTAGCCTGATGGCCATTAATCAGCTTGGCTTTAGTTAGTTCATTTGGAATATAAAATTTAACTGCGAATATTTGTTCAGTCAACTTCCTTTTTTCCAGACACCCTCAGGGCTAAGAGTTACTTTCCTCAATAACAAAAATTATTTTGAAGTAATGGGGTGGGGTGGAATTTCCTTAGAAAAACATTTACATTAGAGGGATAGGAAATACCATAAAATACAATCACAGTATTGTTGTAAAGTCAAACCTGTTGAATTTATACAGACACTGAGGGGGCTATAGAAACTTTCCTTATTAAGTGGGTTGAAGACAAAATGGCAGGGCTTTCTTTCCCCAGGGACAAAGCAAACTGTCTATAGTAGTGAGATGTCATATTAAGGGGGTTTTGACTGCAAATGTAATCATTATTTGTGCATCTGAAGTTACAATTATTGTCATGTGCAACCATAAGAATGTTAAATCCAGCTGGAACAACAAATATGATGATTAAAGACAGAGAAAATACTTTTTAGTTGGGTCTGTCATCTGCCAGAATGTTGCTGCTTATATGTCTATCATAATGAAAGTTAGGACAAAAACATGGTGCTGAAAAGTGTCTGTATATGGTGTAACTCCCTGCAGGTAGATGAGAGTCTGAACGTTTTACCATTTGTTAAGCGGCTGCCTTTATTAACCAGGATGTCTGTAATATTTAGGTGAATGCAAGTAAAAGAAAGACACTCTGATTTTTCTGAAAACTGACTTCTGAAAAGAAAATTAAAATTTATTTGCATAAATTTTTGAGTTTGTTTGAGGTCAAGACAGTATAAAGTACTATATTATTATAGTATAATAAAATCATGCAGTTATTTTGAGTGTTTTTTTGATAAGTGTTTTTACAATGCAACTGTTATTTAACTCCCCCCCCCAACCCAAAGCTTTATTATGTGCAGAATAACATATCTTGTTTACATGTGCTTTTGATCTGATGTATACAGTTTCTTGAAAGGTTACACTCTGATTTTTTTCATTCCAAACATTTCTTCAATTTTGCCAAAAACAAAACAATGTTTTAAGAACTCATAAGATGTATGGGATAAGAAGCGTTTTTCAATTTTATATGAGAGCTATGAAAATTAATATACCTTATTTGAATGCTAAATGACTATGTCAAAGAGACTTTGCTAAAATGTTTTTGGCACCTGCACATTTTGTTGTTCCCACAGTTTATGTCAAAGAACTTAAATTGCATGCTATA